AGTAGCCTTTTTAAGAAATACTTTATTGAGCGTGGCTCATCCTTTATAGAAACAACATTGTAGGTGCGGAACAAGCATCGATGGACGGTCCTCACTTGGGCCCTTGTTGACGAAGAAGCTGAGATGTGGCTTGAATTACATTTCGTAAATAAATTATGTAATTCATTTTGAGCTTGTAAATTTGTGTAAATATTTTTGAAAGGGACTCTTATGGGACTATAATTTGTGTTAATGAATGTATGGATGTGTATAGAAAAAGATTGGATGGTTAAAGGTTGAAGATTGGAAAGAATTGGAAAAATTTGGACCCAAGTACCGATATCTAAGTGATTAAATACTGGTACCATGCTATCGGATAGGTCAGGTATCGATACTTCAACACACAGGTAGTGTTATTAAAATCGGATTGGACTGACTGATTTGACCGGTTGAACTGTGAACCGAGACCTAAAGTGGCCCAGTTCTATAGTTAGACCGCATAAGGAAGTAAACCACCGAAAAATTGTTAAATAGGATGATTTGAATTCAGGGGCTCCATATAAATAAATAAAAAAATTGGGGCATTTGCCCTAAATCGCCTTCACATCTCACTAGCTCAGGCGACTACCCAGTGTACCCACCCACCACTTTTTTTTTGCATAGCAGCTTGTGGCGTCGAAGATAAGGCGGCAAGAGAGGCGAGAGTCTCTAATACTCGAAGAGGAGGAGGCGCTAGGGATCAATCGATCGAGAAGAAGAAGAAGAAAGAGGTGAGAGTCTGTGAGACTCAGAGAGGAGGAGGAGTTCGGGATCAATCAACTTAGAAGATGAAAGAGGGGAGAGTTTCTGTTAGAGGATGAGGAGCAGTCTGAATAGGCTAAATCACAAAAGGGAGAAGGCAGAGAACAAGAAGAGCTCTTCGATCAGTCAGGCATCCATGTCAAGCACTCAGGCGTGCACTTTAACAGTGCTATTTGATTAGTCTTCGATCAGCAGAGAACGAGAAAAACTCAGGTTGGTTATTATAGTGTATTATAGTTTATGGTTTTCAATTATTTGGTGGATGACCTTCTGACCTTATGTTGAATGACCGTCTGATGTTGTTTTTCTATTTATTTGGAGTTTGTTTTGCACATTGCTGGGTATGCCATGAATTGATGTTGTAAACATCATTGATTTTAGAATCATAAATCAATGCATTTTGTTTAAACTTGTTTTGCTCTATTGGGTAATTTAAATAGTAAATTGTATGCATTTTAGATATTTTAAATATTTTTTAGCTAAATTATTATGTTTTATAATTATTATATATATATATATATATATATATATATATATATATATATATATATTTATATGATCGGTCCGACTAGTTGAACCAGTGAACCATTAACCTGGTCCCCTTGCCAGTTCGATGACCGGTCTGGTTCTGATAGCATTGCACACAGGTACTAGTACCTGGATTCCAGTGGGCTCAACTACCGATACCATGGCTTCAGGTATCGGTACCAGTACTACAACATGTAGATACTAGTACTTAGCAAACAGTGGGCTCAGGTACCGATACCCTGACACTTAGGTACCGGTATCTGACAATTGGAAAGAACCTAGAAAATAAGGTCCAGGTACCAGTATCCCGTTACTCAGGTATTAGTACCTGGCAGACAGAAGACTCAGGTACCGGTACCTCTTCCAAAATTTTTAAAAATTTAAATATAACTTGCCAAGCCTTTGGACCTTGAGCCTTCTTGCTTAAAGGATGTAATTGGTTCAATATTAAGTGTAATTGATGGGGATTGGACCTTGGAAAGGTCAAGTGATTGATATGTGCATAGGTTATGCGTTTGGGAGTTCTCTAATACATGGGAGGCCCTACCCAAACTCTGTGTTGCTAACGATCCAAGTAAGGGGAATCTAATGACGTGGTGTCGAGTTATACGGCATACACGGGTACTTCCACAGGTTGAAGACCCTTGAATTTTGGGGCGTCATAGGTCGTACATCACCTAACAATAGGTTTTGAATCTCAGGCGTTAAAATGAGGGGTTTTTCAGGAATTCCAAGGGTTTTCTTCAAATTGAAATTTTATTCTCTCTAAAAGCTCTCCCTTCTCTCTAGAAACCTTAGAAAAGCTTGGGCATCGATTTACACCTCCTATTGCTGATATTTTTGCATGAGTAGTGACTTATGCTTCACAAGGTTTGATGAGTTCTCCCTCTTTCACGATGATTTCTTGGACTTGGTTTGTGCTTTCATTTTTCAGTGTTGTGGGGGATATTTTGAGGGCATTGGCTTACACAAAGATGTCAGCTATCATTGAAAAAAAAAAAGCAAGAACAAGGAGGCTGATAATTTTGATGTTCGATAGGGACTGCTGAAGCCTAAGTTGAGGGGTGTGTTGAGTGCTCAATAGTGTATTATTTTATAGCTTAACACATATGTTTTAGGATTGCTAAAAAACTAAATTGCTTCACTTAGTGCACCTTATGTTTTATGCTTTGATTTCTATGTTTGCAAGTATTTTTGGTGTAAAAGTGGAGATCAAGCATTGATAGGAAGGTAAGGGACAAGTTGGAATTAAGTTTGCTCAAGAGAAGCATAGTGCATAAGTTCTACCTGTAGTTGGTACATGTTCTACACCGGTAGAACTTACAAAAGTTTACACCTTTTTCGTTAGAGAAGTTCTACCGGTAGTTAGTACATGTTCTACCAATAAAAAAAAACTTATAGTACTTTGTCAGAGGAAAACCTACTGGTAGGTAAAGCATGTTCTACTGATAGAAAAAAAAACCCCAGGAGTTTCAGAGATTTTATCAAAATAAATTTCTACGGGTAGGTTTCACTATTCTACTTGTAGGTTTCATTATTCTGTCGGTAGGTCATGCTACAGAAGGAATTGCTACTGGTAGATCAAGGCAGATTTTCATGAGAAGCTCAATTAAAGATCAAATTTTACCAAATCTTTTGGGAATTCTCAAACAATCAGAGGAGAAGATAATTTTGGGATGGATATATGTCAAAGATCTAAAGATTCTCCTTCCTACGAGAATAAATAGAAGGCCCTATGGGAAATGCAAGCATTGCATTTTTTTGCCTTCTACTAGAGCTTTTTTCTTTAGTTTCTATGTTTTTCTACATTAGAGAGTGTTATGGTTTTGCTACTGTTCTTTCTTTTAAGTTTGTTATCTCAATTGTTCTAGCAATCTTACATTCATTGTCTTCAACATTTCAAGCTTTGTCATTTAAATTCAGTTTTTCAATATAAGCAATTACTTTCAAGCCAATCTTTACTTTTCTGAATTTACTTATGTCTTCTTTATTGTTTCGTGTTCTTCACATTATCATGAGTGAGTAGACTTTCCCTAGATAATCTGAAGGAGTCCCAACTTATGAATTAGGGTTTATGCCTTAAACTAGGGTTGTAGCGTTTATGTGATTGTTTGAATAAGTTATACTTTCAAAACCCTATTCAGTTTGCATACTTCCCAATTATCTATATATAATTGATTTTGGTATAGATAGTTAGTGGTATTTTCTGCAATCTTTAGTATATTAAATCTTTTATCATAAATTGTCTTTCAATTCCTACTTTTGATTATTTCTAAAGATTTTCGTTGAAAATCATCTGTCTATACTAGTTTCAATACGAAAGTAGATGAGTAATAGATTTAGAGTAGAAATTCTTGTTCATATGGGGGATGAATTCTGAAGATTATATAATCTTTCCAATTGTTGAATTTTATTTTCATTAGTAGTTAATTTTCAACTCTCAATCTTCAAATCTTTTCATGACAAGATGACCTTGGCCTTTGGTTCGAGTTACTATACGATACTATTCTCTTATGCTTGGGGGCACTCGTGAAAATACAACCCCTTTGAAGGGAAAGAACCTAACACTTGTAGTGGATTGTTGTTTGTGAGAGCAACCACTATTGTTCAAATAAGTGCGAGGCTGATGGATGATATACCTTTCCTCAAAAGGGTTTGTTAATGTCGTTTGAGAAGATATACACCCTTTCTAAAGTGGTTTGTAATTTGACCCTATGGGGAATGATTAAGATTGTGCGGTTGTGGTGTGTGACAGAGATAGAATCGTTGTGTAGATTCCTGTGAAGCGACCAACATTCATGAGAATATGGGATGATGCTATTGAGTTATTAATTAATTGCTTTAATTCTAGCATGTTTATTCCTGTCATTGATTTATTGTATTTTGTACATTTGAGATCATTATAACTGTCATTGTTTTACTTTCAAAATGATATATATACTATTTTTCAAAAAAGACTTGACTTCTTGTTATTGTTTTAAAACCTTGTTTGGATTTGAGAGGGATTTGCTATCGGCTTTTGCTCACTCCCTGTAACCACATTTATAGATTTTGGCATAAAAGGGAATGTTGATGTGGATGAACAGGTAGATTACGAGGCAATGGAGAATCAAGATATGGATCCTACCTTAGAGGAGTAGAGTTGTTCAAGTGATGGGTTTAGTTTTTAAGAGTTTTGATGAAACAATGTGTTTTGAATAATTTATTTAATTTCGTTGCTAGATACTATTTGGTTTTGAATTGTAAGTAGGAGAGATTGAATGTTTTATTGACCTTGGTATTTATTCTTTATCATATCGATGAATGGATGATTATTTTAAAGGTTATTTTTAGTTGCACTCATGGTCGAATAGTTTGTAGATATTAATGAATTCCATGGTGAATTTTGGGGCATTACAAGTTTGGTATGAAAGCCTAGGCATTAGGTGTTACATGTGAGCTATAGGTTATGGAGTACCACTGAAGTGTTAAGATATGTGTAAAGAAAGTAGGCTTGGGCCATATAGGAATTATGTGTTTGCCTTAAGTGTAAATTGATATAGATGTTGTGCAAGGAAACTAAAACTAATGCAGTGAGCAAGAAGCGAGTAAGCATTTGAAAACAGAGCTACTCATAAAATGGTTTGACGCGAATAGATGAACTTTTTTTTGTTTTGGCGGCCACGAACCTTCCTTGGGAATTAGATGTAGCCATGCTCCGCTGTCTCAAGAAGTGGATTCTTGTACCTCTTCTGGAACCTAATGCAAGAGAAGCCATGTTTGAGAAACTATTGTCATCAGCGCTTGGAGAAAAGAAACTTCCATATGATTTATTGGTGGAAAGGACACAAGGTTATTCAAGATCTAATATTCGTTTAGTGTGCAAAGAAGCTACTATGCAGCCTCTGAGACGGACCATGGCATTTCTTGAAGAAAATCAGGAATTGGTGCCTGAGGAAGAGTTGCCAATTGTGGGGCCAATTACACGTGAAGACATAGAGATGGCTTTGAAGAACACAAGGCCTTCTACTCATCTTCATGCTCACCGTTACGAGAAGTTTAATGCAGATTATGGCAGCCAAATACTCCAATGATGGCACATTGCTATAGAATTTAAAGTTTATTGTTCTTATTCCAGTTAAAGATCAAGTCCAAGCAAGGAAAAAAATGATGTGAGGAGAAGATCTTCAGAAAATTGGGAGTTCATTGTGCTAAAATATTTGAATTGAATGTAATCTTTTGTTTTGTTTAATGACTCTTCTTGTCCAAAAATGCTTGTTAATGAATCGTATATGAATTTTTTTGGACTTCGATTAATTAAAGAAAAAAAGGAAAGTAAAACTAGATGCTACCTTGGGCATCTATCAGTGTTTAAGAGAGCTGACTAATCTGGTGCAGAACCAGAATGAGAATAACCAAAATGGGTACGCACAACAATTGGTAGTAGACCTGATGCACAATCAAGAGTCAAGTAGGATGAACGCATTGCGAGAGTTCTTAAGACAGTAGTCACCCACTTTTCAAGGAATTTTTAATCCAACAGAGGCAGATAAGTCGATTAGGAGGATAAGGAAAATATGTGACAGCATGGGGATTGATGCGGATCTCTGAGTGGGACTAGTTACTTATTTGTTTGAAGGAGACACGGATCACTAGTGGGATTCGGTGAAACGGATGCACGTAGTGGATACGATGGCTTCAGAAGTATTTGATTAGATTTTCCAAGATAAGTAATTTTCTGAGTCCATTAAGGATAGGGTGACTGATGCAAAACCTAGGAAACTTTGAACTTTTATAAAAAGGGCAAAACGGTAATTAGCCTTTATAGTACGGGTTGAAAACCCAAATTTTTTTAGAACTCGGATGATAAAATGAACCTTATTGTTGGATTCGTCTCATGAAATCTAGTTATCCAGTCAATTTTTGTTGAATTTTGAGACAACCGAGTTTTTCACGTTTTACGATGCGATCAGGTGTCATGCGACCAAAAAAAACGCGATCAAATTTTAATTGTAAAACACAAAAAATAATTTAAAATTAGTTCAAATAAAATATTTCAAACACAACACGTAACAATATTTAATGGATTCGGGATAAAATCGGATCAAAAAAAGATGGGATATGTGGCGTGTTGTGGTCCAAATATTCTAGGGGTATAAAAAGGGAAAAAATCAGATTTTTTTTCCATTTTGGCTGCTGATTTTCAATAGAGAGATAGAGAGAGAGAGAGAGAGAGAGAGAGAGGGAAATTCAAGGGTTCTTCCTCCTTCTCCTTGGGATCTAAGGTCAATCGTTCGTTGAAATGCTTTGGAGCAAGAACAAAAGTTGATCTATACGACGAGAGCTACGTCTGCGTACCAAAAATCATGGATTTCACTGAAGTCTCAATATCGACATGTTTTGAAATCAAGGTTTAAGGCTTGATTTGGGTTCTTGGGAGTCTATACCACTTGTATTACACTTCAAGAGATTGGGTTCTTCTCCTAGCTAGGTTTATTTTCAACCTAGGGTTTGCGTATAAAATGGGTATTTGATTAGAGGTGAATTCTCTTGTTTGATGTACTCCTAGTGTAACTCGAGTAGAGAAAATGGGTATAGAAATGTGCTAAATCAATCTTTCATGATTTGGGTTTGTGAAAATTGCTTGTTTGGTAATTTCATGAGAAATGTGATGAATTGGGCATTATTATGTGTTACATGATTTTGTCCCTTTTGGATGTTTAATAAAATGCCTTGAATGGAATGAGCATGTTATTGGAATGAAATTAATATAACATGTTTTGATGATGTTGTAAATTGTATTATATTCCTATGATATAATTGACAATTGTGAATGTTGGTTGAAATGAAGTATTATTCATATTGTGCTCATGAAATATCAAACATGACATGGAAATTGCAATTGTACATTGCATTGCATATGCATGGAAAGCATCACAATCATGGGCATGTGCAATAAGTGTGAGTGTGTGGATTGTTTTGATCAAACACCATTTTTTTGTGGATGATGTGTGGGCTCGAAAAAGTTGGACCACGGTTCGACTAAGTCGCACATGTTTGCATCAAAAATAGGGTTGGTTAGCAAGAAGAGTTGGATTATCCCTTAGGTGCAAGACCCGGTGATTTTGATATACACTCCGTTGGTGTTAAGTCCACAAAGTGTGTCGGCATAAGCGGAGCCGTTGGTGAAAGTCCATGGATGTCATGTCAGTTGTGTGCTCGTTGGTGGAAGTCTATAAATACCCACCCCAAGAAAGACCTAGGATTTATGAATACTCATTGGATGTGTAACATTAATTATGGGAGCTTGGAATTCCCGAACACATACGCATGGCGTTGCATGTGTTATAGGAATCGGTGGAGGGCTCGAGTTGCATTCCATGTGTGAGTCTCACCGCATAACATGGCATAGCATTGTGACATTCATTTCTTGAAGTTGTGTATTCTTGGAAGAATGCTTATTTGATTTGTTGAATTGTATTTGAACATTTCTTATACATCTAGGTTGGGAGGTAGCCATTTTAGGAGATACCTATTGAGCATGGTTCACTCTTTATGGGAACAATATTTCAGGTGCGTGACAAGCGCTAGTGGATGGCTCTCACTTGGGCCCTTGATGATGAAGAAAGCCGATTTGTGGCTTTAAATTACATTTTTGTAAAACAATCATTTAATTGGTTTTAAACTTGTGATGTTGTATAAAGGATTGTATAATGAACTCACATGGACTATATTTTGTGCAAAATTTGATGCTATGTGAGTTTGGGTAAATGTTGTATGAGATTGGGTGAGTTGAAATTGAAAAAGGATTGAATTGGAAAAAAATTAGGCCCTATTACTGATAGCACGTTGATTAGCTACTGGTAGCACAATTGCAATGGGGAGCTATTGGTAGCTAGCAGACAATGGCCTCAGCTACTGGTATCTAGGTTCACAGCTACCGGTAGCTCGCCAGCAGAGGGCTCAACTATTGGTAGAAAGTACACAAACTACTGGTAGCTCCTCCAAAATTTTAAAATAACTTCGTCAAGCCTTCGGGCCTTGAGCCCTTTTGCTCAAAAGATGTAAATGGAGTAATATTGATGGCAAATAGATAAATATTGGACCTTAGAATGGTCGTATGATGTCATGGTGTCGGGTTATGCGGCATGTACAAGTACTTCTGTGAATTGATGGGTGATCAACGGGTCAAGCAAGGGCTCCGGTTTTAGGGGTGTCACAGCTTGGTATCAAAGCCTAGGTTTTTGATTTACCTAGGTCTTGCGGGGCATGAGTCTAGGCCATTGCATCCATTGTGCATTGTATGTTATGTGTTTTAAATGCTACATGTTATGTGTTATGTATTATGTATTTTGTGAATAATATGCATAATTAAATTTATTTGGAAAGGAGACACTAGGGTTAGAATACATAACGTTGGGGTCGAAAAGAGAAGAAACGAGGACGGTTCATGGTATAGATGTCTACTAATGAATAGCACACACTCTACTAGTAAAATAGGGGAGAGAAATTTCAATGTTTCAACTTTGATCCCTATCTTGGGATACTAAGTTAGTACTTCATTGCTATTTGACATGTGTGTTGATAGCGAATAGAGGGAGATCACACCGGAATGGCCGAGGAGGTGGGCAGAACAACAACCAACCACCACCGGCTTTTGACCAATAAGCCTTCATGGAGGCTATAGGCACAATGGTGGCTACCTTTGCACAATCTAGCACCAATGTGGGCCAAGGAGGCTCGAGTGACCTCCAAAAGTTTAAGGCACACAAGCCACCTACTTTTATGGGAGGGGCAGATCCAATGGTGGACGAGCATTGGTTCCGACAAGTCGATAAGAACTTAGAGACTATGGAGATCATGTCCAATGTCACTGAGATAAGGTTAGCTGTGCTCTAGCATAAGGGAGAAACCCATCTATGGTGAGATTGGGCAAAGGCCTCAAAGAACTTAGAGGCAATGACATGGGTAGAGTTCCATAAGCTCTTCATTGGCAAGTACTTTTCGTCGGCTGTTCGGCATGCGAAAGCCTAGGAATTCTTGGATTTGAAGCAAGAGACTATGACAGCGATGGAAGACGTGGCTAAGTTCACTAAGTTAGCCCATTTTGACAATGATTATGTGGCTACAGACATGGCCAAACTGATGAGGTTCGAAGATAGTTTGAAGTTGTCCATTCGGGGAAGATTCTGGGCAACTACCTACAAGATTTGGACTCGATGGTCGAGACGGCCATGGCCATTGATAGAGAAGTGGAAGACACAAGGGGTATCTGGAAGGCGAGTGCTAAGGACAAGAAGAAGGAGGGTCAATCCTCTTCTTTTAGTTTAGGGAAGAAGCAAAAGACTTTTACACCATAAGGGCAACAAGGGCAGGGTCGTGACTATCTAGGCTAAGGTCAAAGTAAATCCTCTCAGGGCAGGAGAAACTTCAAGACTTCCTACCAGGCAAACTAGATGACATGTTTCATATGTCACCAGCTAGGTCACAAGAAACAAGATTGTTCTCAGAGGTAAGGACCCCAGATCTACGGGCATCTTAGTCCTAATCATCAGTGGGGCATCCACAGACCTATTTTATTCCTCCCTACCCTATCATGGGCCAGGGTAGTTAGTTCCAATTTCAAAGTGCTATGCAGGCCCCTACTACTTCACAAGCAGGGACTCTACAATCAGGCCAGATGGGCCAGGGAATAGGCCGAGGCCGAGGACAAGGCTTATAGGTTGGGACTTCAGGTACTCAGGGGCGAGTCTACACCATCACTACTTAGACATGTTAGAGTTTGATATCATCCTCAGGATGGTTTGGTTGGCGGCACACCGAGTCGTCATTGATTGTGATCGAAATAGGGACACTGCAGATACACTAGAGGGTGTTTGTTTCAAGTTTCAACAAAAAAAATGCAATGTTTTACCCCAAGCCGTATATGATTTCCATTGGCATGGGCAGTTAATGGGTTGGATTGCGAGCCTTACACTTGACAAAGAGGTGAAATAGGAGTTGGGTCTACCTCAGGTGGTTTATAAGTATGCGGATAATTTTCCGGATGAACTACCAGGATTACCTCCACATCAAGATATAGACTTCACCATTG